ATACTGTTTTTATAACCTATGCAGAGTGTTCTCTTACTTAAGAAAAAAATTCAATGACTTGACCTTAGTGTCTTCACAGGGAGATACAGGCCTGGATGAGTGAATAAGAAATGTTTTCATGAGCTGTACTGAGGTTTATCATTGATGTGCCAAGGTCATGTAATACTGAGTTTGGATGGCAAAAATGCAAAGTTGCAAGGATTTTTGCAACTTTTATACAACTGTGGCTTAAAGTTGTTTCTAATGATTACACTTCTGGATAGTTTGTGTGTAGTTTGGTTTGCAAATAGCGGCGCGTGCAATAGTCGAAATTGAATTCATACTGATATACAGTATGCGCTCTAAATTTTTCTATCATACATCATGATGTACTGGTGAATATTTGATCCATTTATAGGATGCAATCAGCCTCCAACAAACTGGAGAGGTCTTCACAATCAGCTAATGCTCACAGGGGACCAGTCACTTCACTTACTGGGGAAATTAAATGTTGTGAGTATGTCTTAATTTTGCACTCATTCACTGAGCAGGAAGCAGAGATGGAGGGAGGAAAGAATTCACGCTCACATTATACAGACTGACTCGCCTTTACCATTAAGTCTGTGCCTTGAAAACGCTGCATTTAAGTTGAAACGCAGATGAAGCAGGGAAGACGTGCTGTCGGAACAACAAGTAGTTCAGATCCTATTGGAAAAATTGCAGCGTCCAATCAAACGCCTTCTCACATTGAAACCCCCCGAACCAATCGGAGTCATCCAATAAACGACTCTTAGATGGAAAAACTACACTTAACAGGGTAATGCTTCATTTAAGATTTCCATAAGTTCCCACACATCTTTTTCGTGGAGACATAAGCCATTAGAACTATAGCGTCCACTTTACATTTAGATAGATAATTTGATGCAGGGCTACAATAAAAGTGCAGAATGAGGCTGTTTCCACAGAGATATGCCGAATTATATTGGAGGAACTTTTCCCCCCTCCCCTTACTCAAAGATTCATGAATATTTCATCGAGTAAAGTGCGCTGGAATCCAATTTGCTCTGTGTGTGTCTGCAGCATGTGTGAGCGACTGTTTGTCTATGCATGTGCACACATTTACACAAGCAGCATGGATGGAAAATGAGAGTTGTTGGTTGTGCAGCACAAAAAGGCCACGAAATGTGGCAATCTGCCGTTTCCTCTGTCCTCATTCTGTGGTAATGATGAGAGCTGTCCTCCATACCAAACACATGGAAAAGACATAAGGCATGCTTTGCATTACTGAACAGCAAGCAGGGGGAAAGTTGGCTTTAACGCTTCTGCTATTGTCCAATTAAAGCAAACCCAACAACAGGCAAGAGGGTGCTTTTACTGTGATTAAGGGAGAGATTGTGATTCAGCTGATTACAATTGGCACAAAGTACTCGCAATTAGGCAAGAGGCAGGATTTCTGGGCGTTATGGCTCCAATGCAGCATGCAAACTGCAAATTTCCTTTAAAACTGTGTGTTTACAAAAAGAACTCCAGATAGGACTTTACTAAGCTGACATACATAGGAGTGAAAAGGGGTAACAGGTAGCCTGACTCTGTCTGGCTACCTATTCTAAAATATTGTAACCTTACAGTGTGTGAAGTATTTGTCCCCTTCCTGATTTCTTATTTTTTGCACATTTGACACACTTACATGTTTAGATCATCAATCCAATTTCAATATTAGACTAAAATAACTTCAGTTAATACAAAATACTGTTGTTAAATGATGACATCTAAAACTTACTTGGTCCAAAATGTAAAAGTAATCACCCCCTAAACCTAATGAATTATTGTGCAACACTTGGCAGCAAGAACTACAATCAAGTGTTTGAGATAACTGGCAGTCTTTCACATCGCTGTGGAGGAATCTTGGTCCACTTTTCCTTGCAGAACTGTTTTAATTCAACCACACGTGGAGGGTTTTTGAGCATGAACGGCTCATTTCAATTCAAGTCTAGACTTTAATTGGGCCAAAACCTTAATTTGGGGTTTTGTTTTGGGGTTTTTTCAGTTTGGATCATTGACCTACTGCACAATGCTTGACCTTCATAGCGTGGATATTCTCCTTCAGGATTTTCTGGTAGAATGCAGAACTCAAGGTTTTATCAATTACAGCAAGTCGTCCAGGCCCCAAAGTAGCAAAGCAGCCCTACACCATTGACTACCACCATCATGGTATGATATTCTTTTTACTAAATTCTGTGTTAGTATTACACGATGTGTAACTGGACTCAGACTTTCACCTTGAAACTCTCCCAAGGATCCTATTTTTCTTTTGAGTTGTCGATACATTGCTGGAGTAATTTTGGAAGGCTGGCCACTCCTGGGAAGGCTCGCTGCTGTTCCAAGTTTTCTCCATGTGTGGCTCTCACTGTGGTTCGCTGATAACACAAAGCCTTAGAAATGGTGCTGTAACCATTTCCAGACTGATAGATGTCAATGACTGTGTTTCTCATGTCTTCTAAAGTTTCTTTTGGTTGTGGCATGATGTGGCATGTTTTTTGTGGTGATTTCTTGATTCAACAGATCTGACAGTAATGAGATCGGTGGCTAGTGAACTGGGGCAGGGTGACAACTACTTTATCGCAAAAGGCCAGATAACTTTTTTTCTCTTAATAAATTGAAATCATTCACAAACTGCATTTTGTATTTACTCATTTGGTTATCTTCAACTAATATTCAAATTTGTTTGATGATCTGAAACGTTTCAGTTTGACAAATATGCCAACAAAAAGAAATAAGAAAGGCACTGTAAATTTCATTTTTGAATTTGTGTGAATGTTTAATTGCTTCAGTGGAGATAATAATGCTGACATTTGCACATTATTTGCAGCTGTACTGTGATGTTGCTGCCTACATGAGTTGTGATTTCTTTTTTTCTGGCCACAGTTTGTATGGAGCCTTTCTGCACTGTGACCTTGGTCGAACCTGAGGGGACTAATCTTGTTGTCAGCAGGATTATCATTGTTCCCGAGGTAAAGGTCATCCAGCAGGGTACTGTCATCCCAGCGTGATTTGCGATTGTATAAGCAGACAGACATGCTGCTGCTTCACGCCCTTAAATCACATCACTATTTGGGAGGAGTTTTTGGAGGGGAAAAATAAATCAGAGCATCAATGAAAGCAGCTTACATCATGCTTTCTAATTCAGTCTTGTTATGTGTTAGGATCAGGGAATAAATCCTCACAAAAGCACAGAATCCCAGTGTGTGTCAGTGAAGTGTACACTGATGTTAGTGGTTGCTTTAAATTCCATCCTCACCAATTCCAAGCTCAGCTGCTGTTTCCTTGTTCAGCTGGCTAAGCTCTGGTCCATCAATGTTGTTGGCTTTAAAGACACCGACGAGCTCCACTAGTCCCTCGTCACGCAGCCAAGTCTGCACATCGTCCTCTGACCAATCAGTGAGCAGCAACCCGGAGTGACCTGGCAACTTCCTTCCTGCAAAACACACAACAGGGAGCCAGGAAGTGCTCTGTGATTATTCCCCTAACTCCTGCAACAAAACATACCCATTGTCAAACAAACAGATTCCATTCGCACTCCACAGTAAAAGGACATGTCCCCTCTGCGAGTGATAATTACTTTGATGCACACTCAAACATGCTGAGGACATTTACATTAATCTTATGCTAACCTTACACTGAGTTGTCATGGTGTAGTTCAGTGGAGACTTGCTTTTTCCCCACAGTGTTGCTGAACAGTAGCCCCACATTATGAGTATTCCAAGCACACACACCTGACCTCACACACAAGTATGTGATCTCCCAAAGGAAAGAAAATGAAACCCAGGGGTGTGTTATTTCAGGCTCCGCCAGCATGTAGCTCGTCAACCTTCGCGACACTATGTGGCCATCATTCATCATACAACGTGGCGACAAACTGGCCTGTTGTGCGTTGGCCCCATTAATGAAACCTCACAGCAGCTTCATAGTTCACATTGGCAGTCATTAACCAGGATTAAACCTGAAGACTTGAGGTGTGTAGCTCATTACTACCTTAACCATGTGTTAGGTTTTCCCCTCCACCTCTTGCTGTCTCTGCTACCCTAAAAAAAAAAAAAAAAATCTTCCACATAAAATTCTGCTCTTTAATGCTCACCTGAAAACATGTCTGTTGCTGGACTGCATTTGAATCCAATCAGGGTTATGTTTAACTAATCTAATCAAAATCTAGACATTAAAAAAAACAATAACATAAGAACAGCTATGATAATGATAATAATGATGATAATAATAAATGATAAATAAATAAAAATAGTAAATTATTTCAGCTGTTTTCTGTCTAACTGTGGAAAAAAAGAGGGCTTTCTCCTGGAAACTGAATGTTAAATCTGAGGTGATGCAAAACCTTCCATAGACCCTTTTCAAAGCTGAATTCTTGACTCGTCACAGTAGTGAAAGCACAGGTGGAATTAATGATAGCTGAGCTCCATTAAATTTCAAGTAACCCATGACGGTCAACCAGCGTGCACAAAAGCAGGAGCTCCTCTCTGCAGCCCTGGCAGCAGCACCTCGAGTCTCCAAGTCTAAGGAGCTGGTAACACTGTGTCAAAGCATGGCAGTTGACTGAAATAGCTCAGAATGCTGCGTTTGATTACTCAGACAGATTCACATATGAAGACTTCTTCATCATTTCCATTCTCTACATCTTATAGACTGGCGAGCTTCATTTCTTCTTGTCAACAAATCCCAACAATAAATCAGTCCTACATTAGCCTGCAAAACCATATCCTGAAGGCACGTTTTTCTGCAAAAGACTCTCATTGTTACTGAAAAAAACCCCAAACTATCTACACTTGGTGACACATTTCTTCGCTTCAAAAAACCTATTGGTTTATTTTCAGGTCAGTTCTCCAAAGCAGCGGTCCCCAACCGCCGGGCCATGGACCGGTACCGGTCCGTGAGTCGTTTGGTACCAGGCCGGGTTTCACACCCGAGTTGAGGCTCGGGTGTGAAATGTATGGTTTTCAGGGGGGGGGGGTTTTTCAGGGTTTTTAGCGTTATTTTGTTATCGTTTTTTATCGTTAACTCTGTTTTCCTGGGTCTTTTCACGTGTGTTATGAATGAATCTTCTTTTTTTCGGTACCAGTACTAGTTTTATTTTGTTGTATTTATCCGCGACACTTTAAAGGCCGGTCCGTGAAAATAATGTCGGGCATAAACCGGTCCGTGGCGCAAAAAAGGTTGGGGACCGCTGCTCTAAAGACCTTCCTGTTCATTCATTCATAATGCTCATTAACCAAGAGATGAGGCAAACACAGACTAATTACTCTAGGAGCAAGTTTTCATTTATGACCACTACTATAGTTTTAGAGAGTATTCAACATCATACACTTCACTCCAGGCCACTATAGTCAAAACAACACTTCTTTAGTTTTAACATTATGGCTCTGTTTTTGGAAATGATTGTGGGAAAAAAAACACTAGGAAAACTAAGCTGAGCCCAGCTGCAGTGAGAGCAACACAACAGAGCAGGCATCAGTGATAACAATGAAAAGGTCAGAAAGAAAAGAAAAGGTGAAGGTGGGTTGCAAAGCAGCTTGCAGCTGCACAGAAACAGTGGTTATGTTAAACCACCTTAATAAGCATACCATATATGAATACATACAAAAAGGTATAAGGTGAACTATCAGGTGATTTGGGCTAATAAAGTAATCCGGTAATCTGGAGGGATCGCACGATCATTTTATGATCAACTGCTACATAATCAACTAAAATCACATGTCCAGATATTCATGCTTCGCTTATTTTATTGTTTAATTTAATCTTTCATTTTTTTATAATGTTGTCTAAACCTCAGCCTGCAGTGGCTCTGTGTCTACATGATTAGAATAGAATAGAATAGAATAGAATAGAATAGAATAGAATAGAATAGAATAATCCTTTAATTGTCCCACAAGGGGAAATTTGGCTCTTTCTTGGTTCTGGGCTGCATTTCAGCCTGTGTTGTTGGAGATCTTGTGAAAATCGATGGATTTTCGATGGAATTATGAACAAAAACAAAAGAACGATCAGATTCTGATTCACCATGCAATACTATCTGGGAAGTGTGATTGAAAACAGATTCATTTTTGGCATGACAATGGTCCCAAACACACCGCCAATGCAGCAAAAGCATACCTAGATATAAAAAACACACACAATGGGACACTACCAGTCAGAACAAAAGGCAGCCAGCATCCAGAGAACTTTGAAAGTCCTTTGCATATGTTTAATAATTCTAAGTTTGGGTTTACTAGCAAAATACGGAAAAATGAGGGTCGGCTCGAGACTTTTGTACAGTGCTGCACAATAAACGACAAACAAAAAAACCATCACAAGTAAAAACAAAACAGTAGATCCACAAATTGAATTATCCAAGCAGCTGTACTAGATGCTGAGACCTGGACCATCCATAAAGAATGTGAAGAATTAAAATAAATCAGCACTGGTTTAAGCTGAAAGAGTAGCTGAATAACTGAAGATTTCTAAGGGCAAAACAGTGTGATGCATTTATTTACCTTGGCACTGTGTCTCCTTTGATTCAGCTGCTGCCGAAAAACATAAAAGGGAATAGGTTCAATGTGTGAAACGAGAGAAAGAAACAAGATTAAAGGGGAGATAGAGAGAGGCATAAAAAAGGCAGATCTTCATAGAGATGGAATTTACTTTGTCAACATCAGCCTGACTAATGGCAGATAGGGAAGCTGCAATGATGAAGCTTCAAGGCTTCCAGATGTCTAACGATTGCACCTTTTCATTTAGTATTCCAAATATTTTCTTTCATGTGGTGGTATAACCTTTTTTTTGGTTTTAAGCAGTGTTTGCCTCCATAGGAACAGCCTTCCAAGGCTCAGTGGTACTTTGCCCTGCTGCACTAATAAACATCAATCACAATTCCTCCTCTAGACACTGCAGCCAGACAGGAGTACACATGTAATAGGAGCTTCTCTGGCTGGACAA